TTTTTTTTTTTTTTTTTTTTTTTTCTCTCTCTTTTTTTTTTTTTCCCTTTCTTCTTCTTCTTTTTTTTTTTGGAGAATCCTCTTTTTTTTTTTTCTTTTCTTTTGTTTTTTAAGCAAATAAGTATATAAAAAAAGAATAAATAAGCACATATACACTTAAATAACAATATTAATTAAGACTCTTAGCTAACAGTACATATACTACAATATATATAATATAAAATAATATACGTATAATATAAATATAAATTTTAAGATAAGGCAATATATATATATAAAAATTTATATACTTACATTAAGAAATTTATATCAGTTAAGAAGTTCAACATGATAATTTGAACTTAAATTGAGTTCTCATTATGTGGACGTCATGTTTTCTCTAAGGCGTAGAGCTGACATGCTCAAAGCCTACTCAATTGCATTAGGATTATTTGGTGCTCCCATCACATTATTTGGCTGAGGACATACCAAAAAAGAAGCATGACCAAAACATGACGGACATTTCAGTTAGCATGGCTAATCACGAGGAAATACCCTAAGAAACAGAATAAATAATGACTGTTGAATCATTTGGCGCAAAATTGTATGCCTATTTTTTATCGATTTTTAATGCTAGTCCATAAATCATGTGAAGTATGAGAATTACAAATGGTTTCTATAAGCCATCACAAAATCCTAGCATGATTACTTTGATTAGTAACATTTTAGGGGAAATTACGACTCAGAAACTCAAAGAAGTGTACTTGAAATATAAATCATTAAAAGATAAACAGGTGACTCAAATTTAATCCATATAAGAACTAAAAATGAATCAAGTAGAATAAGAAATATCTTGGCTACCACAGTTATTAATCAATATCATCTTTTCCATTCAAGAGAGGGCATGTTATCTGCAGAATTTATCTGCTTGGAAAAAAGTTCATTGATTACTTAAGTTTTTTCCTGATTAGGCCACAACGTTAAATTGCAGCATTAAGTTCTGAAAAATATGTGCCTAGTCAAAATCTAACAGTAAATATTAAATTCTTCAGCTTCTTACCTCCAAATGAATCCCGAAGCAACCTTGTAAGCTTGGAATCACGAAATGGGACATGTGCGCTATTTTCTGCAAGAGCATTAATGCATTTACCCAGTGCAGTCAATGAGAGATTGATGGACTTTGCTTCTTCTAATGTATGCCCCTCACTTCCTGACAAGAATGGTAATATTTTAAATATATAAAACAAACTCCCATCAGTAAAGCTTTCTGAAGTACTCAATAGCTAATTGAAGTAAATAGGGAAGAGATAAATGAGGAGCATTCCACGACTCTGCATATGAATACATCTAATGTAGGTAAATCAAACCAATAATAAGTAAAAGGAAGAAACTCATGGATACCAAAGATAGAAACCTCAATAGGCTTGCGAAATGTGGTATTAATCACAAAGTTACGTGCTTGAAACAAGGAGGAAATATTTGAAAAATCATAATAAATCATAATGGAACTTTGATATACTGACAAGAAAAGAAAACCGAAATTTCTGAAAATAACCTAGAATAAGAAACCTTATCCTTTCTATTCCAGGAAGATTCTGAAGCTAGGAAATGGAAAGAATTGGCCAAACAGGTATTGAACATATTACAAAGACAATAATCAAATAATCCCTTTCAGATATAGAAGTACGCAATCTCAGCAGACAAAAGACCAAATATGCATAGAGAGGTAAAGTACTTTGAATATTTTCTTTAAAAGAAACTAAAACTAGTAGCACTTTAGAATATAGTACTGCCAACAATGGTAGCATAAGCAATAAGAAATAAATGTTCATGAACATACGGGGATGAAAGCCAAGAAAAATGCATGAAAAGACCAAAAATATACAGAGAAAAATAGTCTAATATCAATTTTTGGATGCATCTCCATAGTATAGCCAACAATTTCATCATAATTAATAATAAGGAAGATTAAACATAGTTCCATGCAAGTATATTTTAATCATTAATGTCTTTCTTGGCCAAATGGAGTTCAATTTGCCGAAAATTAGAAATAGTTGTGGGGCGGGGAAATATATCAGGCCAACTACTCTAGATGATAAATGTTTATCCATAGCAATACCTGATTTATCTATTCGCTCTGAACCAGCAAGATCTACAATAACGAGTTTACTTTTCCTGACTATTGGAGGCCTGAATGATTTGACCAAGGAAGATGCCTGGCCGTTCTCAACAGGAAAACCTTCTTCACCATCATGCCTTCCCTTTATGGATCTCTTAACATGAACCTACAGCGATCCAGCAAAAAAATGCAGCATTTACAACAAATAACAATTTTAAATATTCAACACACAGTGCAGCCTACAGGATTACATATTATAAGCACTCATACATCAAAATAAATGTGACTTCACCATTAAAATGGCATGGCTGCGAGATGATTCTGTGTTTAACTTCGTATTCGCAGCAAAACGGTGAGCTTCCCCTATTCTTAAGAGCTCTAAAAAACTTCTCTGGTCTCTAATTTCAACAACAGTTGCTGCAGGTATAGACACATCCCCTGACTTTGGATCTTCTACAATGGCAATGTTATCATTCCCAGGACAAAGAAGATCTTGGATCGTTTCCATATAGAGCTACAAGCAACAAAGAAGAGGCTAAATTGTGATAGTTCGTGTTATAATAAAGCTTACCACAACAAAATCAGCAAGATGTAGCTCATTACATCAATTTATAAGAAGCTGACAATGTGGTGAAGTGGGGGATCAATGGATGATGATAAATTGGCCAATTAAACAAGAACCTGAAAGTAGGAGACGGATACAGAATCAATGGTTGGAGAAGTATCAGAAAGAATATCCTCCATGGCACGCACCATAATTCCACGAGCCGCTATGTTGTCTTCTCCAAGCTTTCCAAGAGTAAAGGTTTTTCCAGTCCCTGTCTGGCCATAAGCCATAACTGTGCCATTGTATCCCTCCAAAACACTCTATACAAAGAAAATATGCTTCTTCAAAAGTTTCAAGACGTTACAAAGGTAACAACAGGCAGCTCACTCAAAAACTGTTGGCACAAGAGAACAATAAACAAATGATATAGAGAGAAAATAAGAAAGAAACGTAAGTATCGAAAACTAAGTCAAACTAAGACAGTGCAATTAACACTTTGCTATTCGACATGTTTAGTTAAGGTAAGTGAAACAATCCTCTGCACGTATTCACAAACCATACTAAGCAACAATCAAAATACTAAATATTATAACTAACAAGAGATCACGAAATAAATAAATAATATTCAAGCATTTAAGAAAATTGATGAAAGAAATAAATATGACCAGACAAGGGTTCACGACCAAAGATTAGCAATTCATGTCAAAATGATGATAAGATGAGTTTCCACTATTCTCTCAAAAAATAATTAAGGAAATGTTGGTATAATATAAGACTATTATTTAGAAAGAATTGAATCCTCGTTACAAGTGTTTATGGTTGAATAAAATGCTAAGTAAAAGTCAAAAACATTAGCAGTTCAACAACAAGAAAATTTGAGCAGCACAGCAAGGACTATGGTGTCAGGCTAGTGTGACAAAAGAGAGCAATATGTTCACATTTGGGGATGTATTGGTGCCAGGAAAGAAACGGGAATACAAAAGTCTAATGCACAACTTTGGAAACTGATTATCCATTTATCCCTGAACTTTACCCACAGGCCAAAGTACCTTAAAATATTTTTTTCGGGCAAGCAAAAAGCCTATTATATCAGAAAAATCAGGGTAATGTTGTGTAAAATATTGCTTTGCGAGAGCACATAGCAACTCGTAACCCAAATAAACAATAAAAACAGTCAAAAGCTAACCATTTAGCCTAAGTTTTTTTAACACCCTCGCTCAATTATGGTTTTTCAACTATAAAAACCATTATAGTTTGTAATTTATGCAATTCCAAAATGGAACATAAAAACCAACATTCCAAATCAGTAACGTAATAAAAGATGTGAAATTCAACAATCCTAACCAGAATCTCATTCAACAGCCCTAGAATAGCCATCACCACTCATCAGGCCACCAACAATGCCATCACTGTAGACGGTAAACCCAACACAATCTATTTCATTTTTTTTTAATCACTTGCTTCCACACATTGGATTCATGTCGGGTAGGTCTACTATGGAAGCTATACATTTATTTAGAAGTTGATGGATAAGTATAGAGAGAATAAGGAGGATCCACATATGATATTTATTGATTTAGAGAAAGCATATGATAAAGTTTCAAGAGAAGTACTATGGAGAGTTTTAGAAAAAAATGGGTTAATAATGCTTATACAAGATGGTTTGACCAAGTATTTCCCTATTTCAGTTGGATTACATCGAGGATCAGCCTTAAGCCCATGTCTTTTTTGTTTTAGTAATGGATGTTCTCACTAGAAATTTGCAAGAGGTTTTCCGCTGGTGTTGCTATTTGCTAATGATATTCTTCTTGTTGATAAGACTAGAGCGGGAGTTGAAGGTAAACTTGAATTATGGATGTGAACCTTATAGTCTAAAGGCTTTCATTTGAGTAGATCTAAAACTGAATATATAGAATGTAATTTTAGTAATAATAGATCTAGTGGGGTATTATGAATTTGGGCAATCAAGTCATTAATAAGAATACACGTTTTAGATACCATGGGTCTATTGTTCAGAGTGATGGTTGTGGGCTCCGAAAATTTCATTGCGCTCCCCGGCCTCTCTGCGCCAGTCTCTTTTTCTTTTGTTGTTGAAAACGGAGAGTTTTAACGGATTTAGGTTCCGGATGAATTTTCAGAAGGCAGATTGGGTTTTAGATGAGACACTACCCAGAGATTTTGCCCTCATTTTGTGAGGACTTTATGATCTGAGTTCTGATTTCCTATAGGCGCAAGCCCCTATAGTTAATTACCCCTCCTGATAACAAGAGAAAACTTTCAATTAAGGATAATTATTAAAGAGGTCGCATAGGTTGTAAATCCAGTATATAATAGCAACAGTTTTAGGGTTTGAACTTTAGATATGAATTTTGGAGTTCGAGATTTAAAATTTATCACCGTAAACTTAAAACTGGTGGAGGGAATGAGAACGAGACCGATCAAGATCTCATGGTTCCGTCATACTGGGCTGTCATGATATCTGGTTTACTTAGTCAGAGAAAGTAGTCGATCCAATCTGATAGAAGGCACCTTATCAGCAGTCATGGGTTGCTTCGTCCAAGAATACCCTACAGATCAAGGTTGGTGTTTATCTAAGGGGACAGATCAGAATCCACCTTATAGCTAACAGAGAGCTTTAAATCCACCTTAGCTGACATAGAGCTTTATGCCTATCGAATATACCATATGATTCATTACTCAAGGGTTTGACGTTGTGAGGGAGCATACGGACTTTGGCTGTGATCGTACTATAATGGTACCATTTGCGGCAAAACCACCCGATCAGAGGACACGTGTCACGCCCATGCTAAGAAGAGACTATTTGAGAATGAATCTTAGTGATACACCCGACACGACATTCATTCTTTGTGAGTTGAGGTTAATTTCAAATTTATCACTCCCGACAAACGATTGCGGAAGGTGGATGTGTTTTAGTTTTAAATTTTTTAAGTGATATATTTTATTTTAAGAATTCATTCTTTTATTGGTTTTAAGATTTGACCCATCCGATTGAGATTTCGCGTTAACACGGCCATCACCGAGGAGACGTTAAAGTCACTTGTATTTTCGTAGGAATTTGGGAGGCATTTTATGATTCAAGTCTGGTCAACTCTGGTCCTTTAGTGGATGAAGATAAGACTTGAATATTTGACCCGAGCAGCATTCTCGAACCGTTGGATTTAGGAATCATATGTGACGATCGAAGCACATGAGGGTTGTATTTAGCTTGCAAATAGAATGTTATATTAACGAGCATTTGACCATGCGTAGCATTCTCGGATATTTGTGTTTGTAACTTTAACACGTTGATCGGAGCACATGCAGGGGATAAAATAGAGTGGTGAGAGTTCTATTGGACACTTACGATAAGTCATTAATAATGAACAGAGTATACTTTTTAACAATAAAAAAGTTTCAATATTTAAGATTTCTTGTTGTCAACTTGATTATGTTGATAGATTCGCAAAGTTGAATAAATAAAGCATGGGATGCTCAAAACATTGAAGGTTGGTTGTGTAGAATAAAATTGTTGAATGAATTAGAACCCGTTTGAGCGACGAGCAATGCTATTTAAACTAGTTATATCTTGCCAGGCATGTGACGAAGTAATCTAGTAATTGTAGAGTCTTTGTGCAACACTCAAGAAATCTTTCTTCAGGCAATCTCAAAGGATACTTTTAAGCAACGAACACTCAGCTCAATTTCATTGTAAATATCAGAATTTGAAAGTAAATGTCCTAATTAAAACAACTCCAGATCCATTTTCTCATTATCTTTGAGGGGTATTCACAATTTAAATTAATATTTTTAGGAATATTGATGATGCAAAGAAGGATAAATCAAACATTGGATTCATCAAAACACAGATTTGAAGAGTACATTTCCAGATAGTTGATGTACAAGAATAAAAGCTATTTCTCCACTACATAGTGATTCTAAAATTTTTATTTTATAATAGTGAATGATCATTGAAGTGAAGATGAAGCTTTTCTGGTAGGGAACAAAGAATATTATCTCAAGGAGATAAACTTAACACTTCCCAAGGGTATGCTAAGTGTTATGCCAATTTACATTCAACAGATCTATCCGCCATGAGTCATTTAAAAAATTAGAAAAGAATTTTCAATGAATTTCTTTTGGTAATTAGAGTATTAACAGTTCCTCTAAGGGAGCATCATGTTTTGAGGGCATTTATTTAATATACGCATGAAACTCTATAAACGATACCATTTCTAGTAATATATGTGATGAGGTCATCGATCAACGGTTCAAACATGTGTATCGCCGGAGACATCGCAGATCGATGGCCACGATTCAGAGCTTATATTTTTAGTTGTTTATGCATTTTCAGTTTCTTGTATTCCTATTATACCCTTGTGTGTGGGTTGAGTCATGTTGGGGCCCCGAGGGCGATTTAGTCATTATTTCTGCTTTTATTTTACTTGTACTTCGAGAACTATATATAGGGGTCATTTGCTATTGTATGGGGGTAATGAAGTTTATGAATGAAAATTTGTTTTGAATTCCTTGTCTTCTTCTTCTCGTGGAGAGTTAGAAAGGAGAGTGAGAGCCCAAGGTGAGGGCGAAACGCAACACCCATCAGTCATTGGAAGAGTCCGTGGCTCGTGGCCTATCCCCCATACCCGATTTCCCCTCTCTCTCTCCAACCCGCCCACCTCAACTCTCCCCTTAGCCGCCGGCCATCCTACCACCACCATCCGGCCGAGAATTTTCCAACCATTGATCCAATCTCCTCTTCCATTCGAATCCAAATTTTGAAGTTCGAATTTCGAATGTCAAAATCTTTCCTAATTTAGAATTTCCAAATTAGGAAAGTTTTGAATTCGTTTTCCTGATGAATTTCAATTTCAAATGGATTTTGTTTTAGCTCTTTTCAAACATCATGTATGCAATTTTGGAAGCCACCCACTTACACCCACACCAAGTTCCCCCTTCTAGAAGCCGCCGGCCACATGCTTGGATGGAGCCCCATTAATGCTCCATTAAGGCATTGATTTCTCTTGAATTAGGAATTAACTCAACATCAATTTTCCCTCCTAATTTACTTAAAACTGAAATCTAATTTCAGTTTTAAGTTTTCAAATCTCTCCCTCTCTCTATTGACCACCGGACCCCTTTCATGGGCTTTCCCCTTGTTGTTTCCTATTATAGCCCCTCTCCTATTTGAAATCAAATTCAAATCCTAATTTAATTCCCTCCAAACATCATTAATTCTGAAATTTATTTCAGATTTAATTAGGGAATTAACTAGGATTGCAATTTCAAACCCTAAGCTCCTCCTCTTGGACCGCCTCCCACCTCTCCTGTGAAATCCCGCGGGTTTGCTCTCCCCGCTTCACCTCCTTCTCTCAAGACAAGGAGTCCTCCTACTACCTCACCCTAACCCTCTTTTACTGAAATTCTACAACGCCAACTAGCATGGCGGATCTCGAAGTTGACAGTGGATTGGTCGCCTCGAACGACGAGGGACATATTCCCCCACCTGCTACTCCCTACTCTTTGACGTCGAGGTTGGATTCGAGAAACGGTGGAGAACCTCTGACCGCATCCACCCAGCACTCATCGACATCATAGACGAGGATTCGAAGATTACGAGTGTGCAGCTATTGAAAGCACGCCGCCCGTGTTTCCTCCACCACCGGCACCTTTCGTGGCTCAAGATCCATGGTCTTGCAACCTTCCTCGTGAATCGTTTGGTGTGTTGAAATTCTCTCTCCGCTAAGCCTAGTTTAGTTGAGTGGTTATCCCCAGGTGAATCTTCTTTAAGTTTAAATTACGGATTTTGTATAATTAGCTTTTGGTGTTGCTACATCGTGTTTATCCATGAGTTTTTGGTTAATTACGCATACTTCTTCGCCATAAGCTAGTTATTAACGACGATTTCTTAATGATTTCCCTGCTATCTCAATTAAGATATTTGAATTGAAAATTTCCGTTGTCATTTACTTTTTAATTTTCTTAAGAAGCTCCTTGCATGTGGTATCACACTCAATCATATGGCCAGCACTAATATGTATTCATTAACAGACAAGAGTATTATAGGCTGGGCAAACAAAAATATTAATGCTTAGTCTTTTGAAAAGTTTTTGGGAAGGAGATGTGGTCTATGATCAACTCCTCTTGATTATAGGAGACATGTTTTATAATTTTCATCATTTGAACTGATCTTTAAATTATTGAACAACCTTCTTTAGTGTTGATTGCTTCAAGTATAGGTTAGAAGTAGAGCATTATTACTTTTATTTCGGATCGATCCCCACCAGATATACTAAAGCACAATGGAAAATTGAGTTATATGATAAAGTATAAATGCCGTGATTTTCTAATATATTACGATCCCCACCAAAATGATACCTCAAGCACAATTAGAAATTGAGCTATATTGACAAAGCTATAATGCCGTGATTTCTTATATATTATGATCCACCAAATAAATCATAAGCTAGATTCATGAAAGTGCTAAGTCTTCAAATTAATTTTAATAAGCCAAGGGCCTCCATTCACACATTCAAAATATCTTAAAATGTGATCATACATTTTGATTCTTTGTTTTTTCTCTAAGCTTCTTAATGCAACCAAAAATAAGAGTATTATGTGAGGTCTTTGTTAGTTTTCAATTTGGCAACCTTCCGGCGTCACCTCACCGTTGAAAGGAGGTTAGGGAGGGAACTTACCCTTTCAATCCGCCCAGCCAGAAAGAACAGTCAATGCGCGAGGGCTTAGGGACGTTGTCAGGTCCGCAATTAGTCTCAGGTCCTTGTGACGATTGTTGATTTTGATTGCGGATAATTGCCGATTGAGTGATTTTACTGATTTTAAAAATATTTTTATTCCCCCTCGAAAATCCGGCAACCTTCTAGCGCCTCCTCCCCGCAGTTGAGGAGGGCACTTGCCTTTCAATCCGCCTAGCAAAAGATAGTCAACAGCTGAGGGCTTCGGGATGTTGTCAGGTCCTGGAATCATGTATGAAGCTCCAATTGACAATTGTATATATATATATATATATATATATATATATATATATAAACAGAGGGAGAGAGGGCCCGAATCGGAAACAGGGATGGACGGGTTAGGGCAGGCAGGCGTCGGTCCAGCGAGCAGGGGTTCGGCAGTCGGCGAGTTCAACGGCAGATCCTTGGTCGGCGGCGGGTTAGCCCGGAGTTGGCGGCTGGTCGCATTTGGCTTGACATCGGGCATCGTCGGTGCAGAGGGTTCGCCGGATTGGTGTCGAGTTTGAGGCGACGGTGAAGAGTAGGATGAAGGCTAGGGTTGGAAACTCGACCTGCTTGATTGTAGAGGAGTCTTGGTCGGAGTTGAATGGCGCAAAGAAGACGAGCCCGACGAGCTTCAGCGGGAGCAGAGGTAAGTCACCTAATTTCCTGGCGATTTCCTACGGCTCTTAGAGTGTATGAGTGTGAATGCCTTCTATCATGTGAGGAAGTTTTGTCGTGAGTGATGGTTTGTGAGGTCATGGGTGATCGTGGGGTTGACGGTTGGGTCTGAATGGAGGTTTTAGGTCAACAATGGTGAAATAGATAGGGATATTATTAGCAGAATTCAAGTTACATGGTTTAAGTGGAGGAATGCATCCGGCTTGTTGTGTGATAGAAAAGTCAACCTCAAACTTAAGGGAAAATTCTATAAGATGGTGGTGAGATTTGCAATGCTTTATGGTGTAGAATGTTGGTCATTAAAAGAGAAGCAAAATATTGAGTTAAGTGTTTCAGAGATGAGGATGCTCAAGTGGATGAGTGGCTTTACTCTTAGAGATAGGATATAAAATGAGCATATACGTGAAAAGGTTGGAGTAGCTCTAGCGAAAGATAATATTAGAGAGAATCACCTAAGATGGTTTGGTCACATAAAACGGCGGTCTTCTGATGACCCGATTAGGAAAGTTGATGTATTATATTTGACTTATGTTAAGAAAGGTAGAGGAAGACTTAAAAAGACTTTGTTAGAAAATATTAGAAATGACATGTCTTTATTAGATTTAAATGAGAATTTGATTCTTAACATGACACAATGGAAAAAAAGGATTCATGTAGCTGACCCCACATAGTGGGATAAAGGTTTATTGTTGTTGTTGTTGCAGCTTCCCCAAGTTGATTCTATTTCTCTTCTGTAGGCATTTTCCTTCTGCCAAATCATCCTTTATCCCTAAATCATCCTTCACTTGTAGCAGCATCTTCCTCTTGGACTTGATTTGTTATCTCACTATCTCATTCATCATAATGACATAAACCTCATCATATGATCATACAATAACAATAACAAGTCTTTATCCTATTAAGATGCTATTTTATAAAAAGAACATTTAAAAATAAATAAGACACTATTTTATAAATGTTGACAACAAACTTATCAACAGAATATTGGAATCAAAATACTTACAATCAGGGATGGCTATCAAAAGATCAAAAACAAAAAATACAGTAATAAGCAAGTTAATATATGTGCACTTCATTAATTATAATTTTATATAGAGGCAGTATTATGTATAGAAATCATTTTAAAAAAAAATAAGCACCAAGCTCTATAAAGACACATCTTTAAAGCTACTTAGGATGAAAACAATAAAACATAATAAGCAATCATTGGAATTAAATCTATACCTCAACGACTGGTTTGGCAACAACCTCATAAACACGTTTTTGTGAGGCTGATTCAGTAAGCACTTCATCAAATTCATATGTTTCTGACTCCCAATTATTTTTACGGAGCTTTAACCTTTTAAGCTGCATGATAGCAAAATATAAAGAAAACTTTAATATTGAATATATTAAATGCAAACCAAAGATTTTCTTTTCACATCTCGTAAAAAGGTAAAAAGGTAAATGTTCGTGAAAGAACCTCGGACTGTAATTCAACACAATCAGCAAAATCAGCATCAGCTACCAACTCCTCTGAATTCTGAGGCCTAAGTCTTACAGCAACTCGAACTCTCCCTGGGACTGACAACAGGATGAGAAACAGGAACCTTGATCAACATAAAGGCAACCAAAACAAATTTTAAATATTTAATAATTTTTTCCTGTTTCTAAGATGCATATCAAACTTCAGTGAAGCTTCCAATATACGTGTGGTTATCTTCAATCCAACAACACTATTGCAAACAAAGCTAAGACTTATAAATAACATCATGATTAAGAGCGCTTGCAAATGGCATATTTTTTGTTCACATATTCCAATAAAAATTCCCAGAAGCCATGGCAGAGCTCCAAACACTAGATATTCTTGATAAATCTAGTCAATGATGTTAGCCGTCTTAGGCAATGTTGGAAAATGTTTTTCTGTGAGATTCGATATGAAATGAAGTCACCGCTGCTCTTTCGGAGATGAATCAATTGCTCAGCATGTATAGTGCATATAACCACTGCAGCATATCGCTCGTAATAACAGATTCATCACACACAAAATTTCATACACTGGATTTTTTAGAAGTAAAACAGCTGAAGAACATTACTAACAAGGCCTTTGTGTAGTTAAAATCTGTCTCAGATCCAAATTAATTCTAATGTCATTTCTTAAATAGGATGGCCAAAATTAATTCTTTTCTTTGTAATCCCTTGCTACTATAATAAATTTTACTTGTTATCCATGGCCAATTCCTCACAATGGATTCAATGAATTATTACTTGTTGAGACAATTAATGGCAAGGACATGTCATGTGGGAGAGGATGATGCCATGGCTTAATGCTGATCCGACTACCTGTCATCAAAGAATTTAGAATAAATTATGGGGATTGTGCATATGAGAGAATATAGAAACAGGCATACAGCAAGTGTGATCAGTCCGCATGCCCCAACTGAATAGTGGTAGGACTGGCTTAAACCACAGTTCCTATTGAGTGGCCCTAAGAAACTACATGAAGGTTAACCCCAATTTTTTCCCCATTAAAAAAAAGGTTTCAATTATACCACAGGATTTTATGAACAAAAACAAGGATGAAATCAATATAAACATAGGCAATTTAAAGATAAAAGAATCAAGTTGTAGCCTCCGCAACAACTTTTTAAGATATTTAAACTGAGAATTTTTACATAACAATAAAAAAATCTTTAGTTAACCATAGAGCCATGATTCTTGAGGAAAATCATGAGTTCAAGAAATTACGAAAAAAATATACAGTTTATGTAAAGTGTGGATGATCAAGAACAATATTTAGATTCCAATAACAACAATTCTAGGATGTATGTTCGAAATAGTTTATTATAGAACATTCATTTTTTTATTGAGATGTGCAAGAATACAAAAAGGTATGATCTTCAGCTAGACCGTATAAGGCATTCTAATGATCATTGTATTAGTAATCAAATTAAAAAATTAAAGATTATTAGAAGAAAATAAATTCCAAATAATTTAGACCTTAAGCCAGTCAATGTTCTCGAAGGAGACCTCCTTTAGCCCAGGCTCTTTTCCTAAATACGTGCAAACAAGAAAAAAAAAACAATGTCAAGGCCCTAACTGAGAAGGACCTCCAAGACTCAAATTAGTAAATGAGCCAAAAGGTAACGATAAGTCTAAACTAATTTAGCAGCGCTCCATTAAGGAATGAAAAAAAGAATCAGAACCTTTCCGAGCCCCCTTGGAGATATTTTTAAACTCTTGGATAAAGTGTGTTTTGGTACTTGGATGATTTATACAATGGTTAGATGAGCCAAGCGACCTTGGAGATTCATGTCAAATCAAAATTCCTTTGATCAAGGGAAATTTCATCATTCAATCGATTGAATAGTGGAGAATGAAACCCCATCAACTCTAAAAATCATGTCAAACTAGCATGCCCTTGCCGCAATGAACGGTTCAATGGGATCTCAGAAATTCAAAATTAGTGTTGATGGAGATCTATGTAAGATGATCGTATCGATATCAATGACTCAAGGATTGTCACCAGTGAAGAAATGAAATTGATGACCTTATTTGACCAAAATGTTGGATTAGTTGGCATAGTTTCATGCTTATCTAGGGCTACTACAAAGGAGTCTCATAAAAAGTTGGATTAATGATAAGGAACTATATAATATAGCAATAGCATAAATGACAATGAACTATATATTTTACAATAATATGAGTCTTAAAAAGCAGTGTAAAATAAATAATATATGTATTTTATAGTATCCATGATAATCTGGCCATTGCTCATTTTCTATACTTCATAAAAAACATTATCATCAAGAAAGAAAGAATATCCAAGCTACGCTCACACAAACCATAATTTCCCTTATCCTTATAAAAAAAAGTTCAATGAAACCACATGCAGCTAAATTTACATCTAACATAATATTAGCCTAAATCCTAAGTTCAAAATTACCAAACCTACCAAAGAGAAAATATCAATATCTTCATCATTCATCGTTCCCGTCGGTCTTCCTTCAATATTTCTAAAACAAATTTAAAGTATCATCGTTCTCCAGTTTCCAGCATTTCGATTTAAATTTCTTTCTAGTCTCACGATGAAAAGAGGAAAGGGTAAGAAGGAAAGCCTTCCTTGCCATCTCCAAACATAAAATTCCCGCCAGTTGCTATCGGGTTTCTCGGGCTGGGTTGGTTTGAAGAAAAAAAATATATCTATTCAATTTATCACCCTGATATTGACTAGTTTCCAGATGTAATAATTTCCCCCAAAGCATTGATAAGCACGAACATGCACTGTTGCAATCAAAGGATGAACTCAACAAACGATTTCCCTAAAGCAGATTTTTATGACTGAAGGGCAACACACACCCGTTTTCATTCACCTCCAACAGTAACTCGGGTACATTGTGCGCATGAAGTTTGGAAATATTTACCTTAAAAATATCTCATATGTCAACTTAACTAATTCATGGTTGCATGATTTGCATCTGCAGCCTCAGATTGAACTCAATTGATGTGTTTAAAATCGTCAAACCTGTTCCTTCTAAATTCCGCGTCAGACACAAGCCAGGCTCTTCGATTTTATCCAAAAGCCCTACCCTACCACAACATTCCAGTATCCATCCACAACGACACGACTCCCTACATCAAGAGAATATCTAAGGATTTACTTAGAGCTTTAATCTCCAAAAACAAGAGCAATGCCCCCAAAACGCAAGCCATCATAGGCAAGCCGACCGAACCGCTCTAAGCGCCCACAGATCCTGCATGAACCTAGCTAAAATCACACCAACGAAGCAATCCGCAAGATTATCCAACCAAGAAATACGTAAACTATCTACAGGGTCGTCTATTAACCAGATCTCAAAGCACTATGAGCTTAAAAGGACTAAAGAGGTACACTGACCTCCGGCGTCATCCTTGGCGATGAGCGGCACAGCGCTACTGCGGCGGACGTTAGCGCCACCTCCGGCGGCAACACGTGACTTAGCAGTGGGCTTGGGAGTGGTGTAGGTGGAGGAAGTTGAGCGGTCGGGCTTAGTTGTCTTGGGAGTTCCGTTCCTGTAGCTACCGGAAGCCATGGAGATCAGGAGCAGAGGAAGAGCGGTAGAAGAGAGCAGATAGGGACCCAAGAACGGAGAGTAGACGCTCGTCGTGCATCAACCCGAGCTACACGGCTGCAGGTACAAGCTGACAGGGAAAGGAGAGCGAGCTCTAAGAAGTATTTTTAGGCTACCAGAGTCCAGACCATCCGCTTTCTCGCCTTTTTTTTATTAGTGGGTGGGCTCTAAATCTAAGATTTTTTTTTTTTAATCCGGCCTTCACTTGCTAGGAGGGAAAATTTTTCGAACTAGAGATCTAACTAAGATTCTAAGTTCTAGATGGTATGCATGTGGTAATATTTCATTTAATTTTTTTATATAAATTTAAGCCTCATAAGTCTTTAAGAGGATTAATTATTCTATGCGGGTGTCAAATACTATCTGGAGGCCAATCAGAATGCTCCACGTCACTCATTGCTCGGTATTGTGGCTGGATACGCTCAGTACCGCGGCACGGTACTGCTAATATGGCGCATTATAATTGGTCTTCAGACAGCGTTCTGTTTCCGATCTCCACACAGAATAAATTCTCTTTTAAGGGACACCATCTCTAATAAAATTGCATGCTACAACTTTTTGAGTGGCGATGATCATCTATAACTTTACCCACAAACTTACATGCAATGAACTTCTACTTGACAATATAGTCTCACAAATTATAGACTTCTTCCAAAATCCTTAGCTTGTAGGCCAACATTTCCATGACTTATCGCATCTATATAACACTTATTGACATCTCGAGCATCCATACATCTAGCTTTCATGTATATCTGATTATCTAATACATGTACGACAAAATTCCACCACATTCATGCCTATTTCTGATGCACCCATATGACTACCAATTCTTTTATAATGTTGATTTTTTGTGCATAAACAGCATTTGTATGCATTCAAATAATATTTTTTCATAGGGGGATATTGTAAGATTCATCTTTCTTAATTTATTGAGCCTCAACATTTATTGCACAACATTGAGACTCGACATCATGATTATAAATTCATTTATGTAAAGCTAGAAGGCATCTCTTATCTAAAGAGTATAAACCGTGACTTGAGCCTTTCTCCATATATGTTCTCTTAGATTTAGGCATTTAGGAGAGTGTTTATCTAATTTTATATTTTCTCTCTCACATCTGCTTTCATCCTTTCCATATCAATTGGTAGAGAGAGGAAGAAAAAAAACCAAAGTTTTGTAGAGGATTACAATCCTCTAGTCTCGTGAAACTAAAAATGACATCTTTAACAACTTTAATGCCAGCATTATGACATAAGATAATTGTAATCACATTATCTCTTATGATCTAGATAAATGTTGTCATGACAAGTGGGACATCATAGAAGACCGAGCCATCAACTCCCCAAGAGGATGATCAGCGCACAATCCCATCAACTCCCCAGGAGGATGATATCAGCGTCAGGCTTTAGATTTAATGCAGCCTACTTAAGATCTATAAATAGCTCTAACAAAGAGATGTAACGTAAGAGAGTTAGGGCATTCCATTTAATAAAATGCAAAATTAATATAGGAAATGCTAAAGCTTTCCTCATCAATATAAATCCCAATAAAATCTAAAATATGACCTCAAAATATAGGAAATGTTAAGCTTTAAAAGTAGAGGATTGTGGACATGGCCACGTGATAGTGGCAATAATAAATGGAATGGGAGAGATGATAAAAAATCTAACCTTCAAAAATATGACATATTCACTGTATGATTTAGAGAAGCAATGATGCTATGCAAGTTATTGCAATCAATCATAAAGCTTTTCCTTTTTCTCTTGCACTTTTTTGACTCAATCAGTGACATGCATGCATTCGTGTTCTTGTGGATAGGAGTTCTCCGCATTTTCAAAATTACTTATTTATGTTTAATTATTAATATTAACTTATTATTATTATTATTATTATTATTTAATGTAGCCTAATTTGAGCAATATCCTTCACAGTTCACACCTATATAAATGTCTCTTGTTAGGCCTTTGTGAGGTCTTATTTATCTTCAATGGTGGAGTGAGGCTCATCAAATATTCTCTAATATTAAAAGCCAATAGAACTTCATCATGCTTGCACGAGCAGGCATCTATCATAGCTGCATCATTTTGAATATATATATATAGATATATATATTGCATGTATCTGAAGCATTATAGAAATATGAATAAGAAATAATATAACTATTATATTATATTATTATTAGGGTTATTAGCCATTGAATTAATAAATATGTAGAAGCATTTCTTAAGCATAGGCTACTTAATAGATCTGATGTTAGGTGTTGAGTCTTCTCATAAGTTACCAACTAAAAAAAAAAAAAATTACTCAAGACATTATGATCAGTTTTTTTGGTTAAAATGGATATAATATAAAATGTAAATAATTATATATGCATATATTATTTTGATTTCAAAATAAATATATGTTTTTTTTTTATGGATCAAAATATTCTACTTTAAATATTTAGCAGCCTGAAATATATTTTTATAAAATTACATAATGAAGTGGAGGTCCTAACAATTAACAACTAACTACTCTTACGTAAAATAAAATAAAGCATCTTAAATAAGCATATTCATTTATCACTTTCTTAAGAGAGATAAATTATTCTGTGGGGAGGCTAGACGCAGCTCTACGTTCAAAGGCGAATCAAATACAGAGCCACGTCAGCGGTACCGAGCAGTTTCGAGCCGCGGTTCCAAGCAGTATCGAAGGATCATTCTTGTTGGTCTCCGGACGGCGTTTGACGTTCGCACATAATAATTAATTCTTAAGGGAGCCATTTTCTCACCTAACTTAATGCAAGTCACCATTAATTTGAACATTCAATGGCAGAAACAATCTGTCTTTTCAGGGTCTGTTTGGGAGGACTAGAACTTTATATAAAGTTGGTTATAAAGTTACTGTGGTAAAAACAACTTATCTATTTTTGTTGTAAAAAATAACTTTTCCTCATAGAAAATTTTAAAAACCAGTGATAAAATAGCAAGAAAATAGTAGTAAAATGAAATTGTAGTTGTTGTCTAAAATCATAAAGTAGTGATAAAGATATCCCAAACAACCCTTAAATTTAGAAAAAAAAATAATATAAAAAATATGTGTTTGATTGTTCTTATATTAACTATATTATGATGAATTTAAAATTATTTAAATATATTTTAATATTTGTGTTTTATATAAATAATTAAAGAAATACTTTTAAATCTAAGTTACATGATTAGATATTTTATATGAATTTAGAATGCATCCTAACTAAGAAAAAAAAATCATTGCATTTGATTTATGGCCAGCTAAATAATTTTAAAATTTTTAAATATATGCATTTCAATATTGCATATGTGCATAATTAAAAAAAAAAAACATGAAAAGAAAGTGTGGGAAAACACATCTTTATTTTACCTTTTAGTACAATAATTTTGGTGTTTGGGTTTCTGTGTTTCAAAAGTAAAATATTTTGAAATATTTCATTTAAATATTTGGAAGTCATCTCAACCACCCTGTCATGTTTGATTATTTTAATTTTATTATGATAACATTTTAATTTTTGATTTATCCATAAATTCATGAAATTTAACTAGAAGTTTTACAATTTATTTAAGGTAAATATAATTTATGTAATTTGTTATTGGCAGGGGTGTCAATTTTTGACACGACTCGAACTCGACCCGGAAAAATCCAAGTTAGGGTCAACCCGGACCCGAAACGGGTCCGATTCGGGTTCAACAAATCAACCCGTTTTAAAAATCGGGTCGGGTCGAGTTGACCCAGCAACCAAAAAATGACTCAAAAATGATCCGAAATTGACACGAAAACTCCTATTTGACTCGGAAACCCGAGATTGCCCCATTTTTTGACCCGATTTTGACTTGAAAATCGAAGATTGACCCGATTTTGACCCCAAAACTACCAATTTTAGGTCAACTTCGGATCATTCATGTCAATTCGGGTCGGTTCGGGTCCGAAAATCTGACCTGTTTTTTAAAAAACGGGTCTGGTTAGGGTTGACCCGAACAATGCCGTGTCAGTTTCGGATTCGACCCGAACCCGACCCGTTGACCCGAATTGACACCCCTAGTTATTGGTTAATAAATTCACATTCTTGCACAACTAATTGTGCCATATATTCATGTGTATCCACATATCCATAAATTCGGTTCAAGTTCAGTTGGCCTTGTTAAGGCTAAATCAAACGAATTCAAGCCAAGATAATAAAATTTACTTGATCTCAACTCGAAAATGGCTTTCCAGCTTACAGCAGTACTTGCTTCAAGCAAGCGATTATGATTTAACAACTCAACTTGTCATGCAAGTATGGCCTATTAGTCCTTCCTAGCTTCTTTTATCTATGTTGTCATCCCTGACAACTGCTTAAGGAAAAACAAATTTATGACTATTAATTAATACATGTTGCGTCCTGGAGTATTCGCGGCGGTAGAGAAATAAATAGTTTAACGTCTTAGCATTGTACGAAAATCCAGCACACAATCAGATAAGTGAGTGTGTAACGTTCATAAGAGACACCAGAGTTTTTACGTGGAAAACACATGAAAAGGGAGAAAAACCACGGGGCCTGGCCTAGTTTGAATGAATCCACTAGTATTTGCAGTCGATTACAAATAAGACCCTTCTTAGGGAGAAGGCCTTGGCTTGATGTTACAAATGTACATCATATAGAGCGCATTACATGGTGGGAGTTACAATAATCAACATAAACATGTTTGTTTAGTTGGAATGGTCATTATCGGTGATGGAGGTCGGAAGGACCGTAGTCGGCAAGAGACAGAGGTCAGAAAGACCGTTGTCTGGCGATGTAAGTCGGAAGGACCATAGTCGGCAGGAGACCGGGGTCAGAAAGATCATTGTCTCTTAATGGAGGTTGGAAGGACCATAATAGGCGACGGAGGTCAGAATGACCGTAGTCTGCAGGAGACCGGGGTCAGAAAGACCGTTGTTTGTGGATGGAGGTCGGAAGGACCATAGTAGGCGACGAAGGTCAGAAGAACCGTAGTCGGCAGAAGACCGGGGTCAAAAAGAGCGTTGTCTGTTGATGGATGTCGGAAGGACAATAGTAGGCGACGAAGGTCAGTAGAACCGTAGTCGGCAGGAGACCGGGGTCAGAAAGACCGTTGTCTGGAGATGGATGTCGGAAGGACCATAATTGGC